GGTCTTGAAAATCAGAACAACCTAATATTGGAATTAATTTTTGAAAAGTAGTATGAGAATGATGACCAAGTCTAGCGTTCCATGTATTTGATGTAGTGGTGAGTAATGCATGTGAGGGTGTTGTGGTTAGGTAGTATAACCCATTACGTCCATGGCCCCGACCAATCTCCGTCTTCGTTGAAAGGTCCTGAAACACAATAGTTAGGAAAAAAAATAATGCTAGAATTTGAATCTTTGGCAAATTTGTGCACAGATAATAAATTGAATTTAAAGGTTGAAACATAAAAAACATTAAACAAAGTTAAATTATTGGATATTGTAGTATTGCCAAGGCCATGAATGGCTACTGTATCTCCGTTTGGAACTGATATAGTTCACATATGACAAGCATTGATAGGTGGTGAATTAAAGAGAGAATAATTAAAGCATACATGATCAGTGGCGCCAGTATCAATAACTCATTCAGTTGATGCATTAAAAATAGAAGCAAGTGTGAGAGATATACCAGCAAGATTCGCCTTTGGTTCTTTTACCTCACGAAGTAGTTGAAGCAATTGTTGGATTGAGTCTAAAGATATGGAACCTGTAATTGGTGGTGGAGGTGTAAGAATGGATGTTGGGGTGCCATTGGTATTGCCTTTTTTGTAATACTTGTGCCCTGGAGGATACCCGTGAAGCTTATAACACAATTGTTGGGTGTGGCCTAGCAGTCCACAATGTGTACATTTCGGCCTTGAACGAGTTTGGGTGGATCGATTAGATGGTTGGTGGGCAACATTAGCGAAGCTTGGTGTCATCTCATTAGTTTGGCCAGTAGTTTGTAAAGGTGGTGTGGGTGTTTACCCAATATTGATGTGTCAACTGTTGGTGGAACAACAGAGGACCAAGGAACATTACTAGACAAAGAAGACTTACCATGTGCATTAGTTTGCAAAGCTACATAATTTGCTGGAGAGTTAGATTGATAAATTGTCCGTTGTGTCTCATCCTGGAGTAGTAAACTATAAGCTGCTTTAACAGTTGGCATGGTAGTTTTGAGAAGGAGATTGGCTGCGTGTTTGGGTATATGTTTCGCGTAAACCCATCAAAATTGGAATAAACGGCGCCGCTCCATTTGAGAAGCATATGCAGTCTGCGCTGAGCATGTGCATACTGGTGGAGGATCAAGCAGAGTCAAGTCATCCCATAGTGCACATAAGATGTTATGATAATGTAGAATAAAATAATCTTGTTGCCTGATGGTTGCAATACGCCTTTCAAGATCATAAATACGAGGACCATTTGCCGTAGAAAAATGCTCTTTGAGATCGGCCCAGATAGTAGCATCATTAGGAGCATATAAAACAGTGTAGCTGAGTGAGAGATGGATGGAATTTAGCAACCCAGACATTACGATATTGTTTACTCGGTGCCAACGAGCATGGTGAGAATCAGTTGCAGGTGGCATAGGAAGGGTACGGTGCCATCAATAAAACAGAACTTGTTTCTTCCTTTTAGGGCCATTGCTGTAACACCCCACTTTTCTAAACTCTTAATAATCTCTCTAAACAGTCACTAACACAATCTCAACTTTTAACTTTCACTTTAGCTTCTCACTGAAAAACGTCTGTGTTTCACTTTCAAAAGATAGAAACAAGTACTTTAAACACATTGATAAAGCATAAACATTTAAGCAAACACAAAGGAAAACACGATCTCTCCGTGTTCCCACTAACACTTAGAGTTTCTCTTAACTCTGATTCACATACTCGGTTACTGGACTTAGTGTCCTTCTCATATCAGTTTTCATAACTTAGGGCTCTTTCCCTAATCTTATCCTTCTTAGGATTTCACTTAGAGTTTTCATCTTAACTTGTCTTTCTTAAGACTTCAACTTAAAGGTTTTCCTCAACTTGTCCTTCCTAGGATTTTCACTTAGATTTTCTATACCCAATCTTAAGGGTCAAACTTCCTAAGTTTTCCCGCGGTTCGTACCGCTCTGATACCAATTTGTAACACCCCACTTTTCTAACTCTTAATAATCTCTCTAAACAGTCATTAACATAATCTAAGCAGCGGAAAATTAGATGAAAGTAGTGAGGGTGTCACGCCACAACCATCACTCTTGGTGATTGCACAGGTTAAAGGGGTAAAACTATAACATACGATTAAGTCTGGGCACTAAAGTAAATACTGAAAGTAAGGGGGAAATACGTCACCCCAAAACAGTCTACAAACATCATCATAAAGTATAGGGTCATAAGTCTAAATCCATAAAGACATCATAAATAGAACTAGAGTTTAGACAGCTTAGACTAAGAGACTAATCTAACTCGATCTCTTCTCACTGTTGGGCCCACCTGAAAGGAGTTTTGCAAGCAACACATAGACAAACATGAAAACACCTGTTAGCACGAAGCTAAGTATAACCACACTCAACCCTGTAAAACATTCTAGCATACACTTTGAAACATTTGATATCTTTATAGCAATAAGCTAATCTCAAAACATCTTTAGTTTATCATATTCTTTCTAAAGCTTGCACCCTATAATATCAGTTGGCATGCTTATATATGAATAAAACTAATCACGTATATTCATATACATATAGACTTCTCAAATAGCTTATCAAGTAATTCATGCTTACAGATAGGATCATGTTTAAAGATCATATAACACGTGTTCACATGCTATCACACTCTTATCACGTAGCTTATTAAGTAGAACTTCTACTACATCACAATAATCATGCTCAAGGAACCTCTCAAGCTAAACTTCTTATTAAACAATCTTTTACGATGTTCTATTCACAAACAATCATATATAACATTATGATCATGCTTCTCGTGCAAACTAGTGCCATAGTATAATCATACTCTTATGCAATCTAGTGCAACATTATACTCATGTTCATATGCAATCTCGTGCAATAATATAATCATACTCTTATGCAATCTAGTGTAATAATACACTCATACTCTTACGAAATCTAGTGCGTTAATATACTCATATTCATATGAAATCTAGTGTAATAATACATTCATACTCTTATGCAATCTAGTGCAACAATATACTCATTTTCATATGCAATCTCGTGCAACAATATACTCATGTTCATATGCAATCTAGTGCGATAATATAATCATACACTCATATATATAAAATAGGGTACTTTCTGTGGAGGTTTCTTTGTTACTTTCTCGAGTCACTCTTGACTCTCGTTCTTTCTATCGAGTCTATATTGACTCTCATAAACGAGTCTCTGTTGACTCTCTCTTGAGTCCTGATGACTCTATTTCTTGAGTCTCTGTTGACTCTCTTTCTTTCTCTTATACTCGTAGACGGCTTAGGTTTCACAGAAGTG